GCCCTCCGGTCCCCACCCGACCCGCCAGTCGCAGATCGGTGCGGAAGGCTACCTTAGCATTTGCCCGGCAGATGAGGTCACCGATGAAGACTGGCTCGTCTTGCCTGACGTCGTTGGCCCTGATGATGCCCGACAAGAGCGCCTCCAACTCCACTGGCACGACAACACCGCCCTGCGCAAGGATCAGCGCGATCAAGATCGGCTCCCCGAAGGGTGGGATCAAGCCTACGACCCCACGACAGGCGCCTACTACTACATTGACCACCGAACAAAGTCTACCACGGCATGACACCCCTCGCGGATTTTTTTTCCTTAATTTGTTTTTTCTTTCTTCTTTGTTCTTTATCCTACAGCAACATGTCGCACTCAAAATCTCATCACTTTGCGCCCTTTGCCACTGTGCTCATAGTGGGAGCACCCGCGAAGCAAATTTCCACAGTCACAAGCCAATGTAGGTCGCAGCCCCAAGGCCTGCCCCTGCGCAGCCTTCTCTTTGCTCCCATCTCATTCTTACCCACTTTGCCTCTTAGCCCTGCCTGACATTGACGGTGGGCATGGACTGCCCCGTGCGAGTTACCGTCCGTGAGCTCAGTCCCGGCCTTCAAGCTTCCGGTGTGTTTCTTGTCACAATCCCATCAAGCACGTATCACCCCCAATACCTGGAGCGGCTTACCCCAGAACCGTGACTGAGGGACCTTGCCTGCTGGTAGGCGATGGAGCCGAAGCACAGAGTAGTACAGAAACATCCGATGCCGGCATCGCCACCATTCACCTCATTGGCTACATGGAACTCTCCGACGGCCGCGTGGTACAAGACAAAGAGCCCATTGGCCGGCTTGAGTTTGCCTTTATGCGCGGCCTCCAGCTCTTCTTGCAAACACTTGCCAGCTGCCCCCATGTTTTTTTCGACATTACAGGTCCTCTGCAAGACGTCATTCCCCCTCGTTCAAGACGTGACTCCTCGGAAATACAGTCGGAAGCCGCCGACAAATACAGCCAGGCTCTGCAACTCAAGCGCCTGCGTCAACAAACTCGCTTCCCAAATTTTTGTGAGTCGCCTTTTTTGTGCCCAGTTTCGCCCCCCATCGACCACTGTTGTTCCGCCTTTTTCGATGGCTGACTAGCTGGCTCTGCTGTAGATCAAGTGCTGTCGACGCCCTTCGACTGGTCGGCGCAGGCTTCCCGCCCTCGGGAGAGTGAGTGTTATGGCAACACGTAGAGATTCTTCATCTCGACCCCTCCTGAACCATGGTTTCTCACATGTTGATTTCTTAATCTCGCCCCATCTTGCAGCGGCATTGGACGAGGAAACTTTTCGTGCATTCAAGTCTGACGAGGGTCGACTTGAAGACTTGGAAGCCCTTCGCAAAGTTGTCTTTTTCAAGGGCATCCGCCCTGCCTTCCGCCGCGAGGTTTGCTGTGCCTCCACGCAACTTACTTTCTGTTTCTGATTGGACCTGACCCCGTGGTTTGGTTGTCGTCGGTTTTCTGGCGGTGTTCCAGGTTTGGTTGATTTTGTTAGGTGTCGTCAATGTTGGCATCGAAGATGGCCAGCGAAGCGAGGCCCTGCGCCAACTCCACCGGGAATACTACGAGCTCAAACAAAGCTGGGTTCGCCTTCCCAGCTCGGACACACGCCTCAATCGTATCTTGCAGACCATCATCAAGGTATGGGGTTTTGGTTTTCCTGGCTGATGCATCCTTTCAAGTGAAAACAACCTGTTGTTGGTTTTGGGCCGTCACCTTCTATGACTCTTGCGTGCGACCAACCACGACTGACAACCGACATCTGGCTTTGTCGACCCGCTTCTTGTCGCGAGACAGGATGCCCAACGCACGGATCGTCACTTTCCAATGTTTGCGCGGCGAGACAGCGAGTGGCTTAATGCTCTTCTGGACATTCTGGCCACGTTTGTGAACCACCACAATGTCGACTATGTACAGGGCATGTCGGACATTCTTGCGCCTCTCGTGGCTGTGTTTCAGGACGAGGCCGTGGCCTACTTTGCATTCGACCGTCTAATCAAACGCTTCAGCGCCACCTTTGAGGATCAAGGCGTGGGCATTCATCTGCGTCTGGACGCGCTACGCTCTCTCACCGAGCTGCTCCTGCCAGATGTCTTCAATTTTCTGTGTCAGCGCGATCAAATGCAAATGTTCTTTGCCTACCGGTGGTTGCTTCTTGACTTCAAGCGCGAGTTTTCTTTGGAAGAGGTACGGGGCGTTCCATGGCTTGTCATTGGAAATGGTACACTGAGAGCTCACCCTCTGCTCTACTGTGGCGCAGACGTGCGAGCTATGGGAGACGATCTGGTGTGACTATCGCAGTGATTGCTTCAATCTCTTTATCGCAACGGCCATCATGGCTGAAAACGAAGCTTTCATCCTTGACGAGTCTCGGCCCGAGCATGAATTGCTTGAAATGCTCACCAGCCTCCCGACGCGCGTTGACGTTCAAGCCGTCCTCCGCCGTGCTCGACAGGTTGGTTGACTTTGATGACCGAGCGAGGGGATGTTGTTGGTCGTTGTTGTCGTTGTTGTCCATATGGGAAGCCTCTCTTTACCACTCTTTCTGGCTTCGCCTCGCCTTTGCAACGCTTACGTTGAGATGTGCCTCTTTGATGACGTTGCCTTCTCAGCTTCTGTATCGCTCCTTGGAACTTCCTTTGCCAAAAGACTTGGCTGAGCTCATCAAGGTACGTGAGTGAAGCACGTTCATGGCATCAAATTTGCGCAAAAGGCTCACTTGAAACTGATGACCGTAGCCTTTTCCTGTCGAGGTTGCCCTTGCCGACGGCGCAGTCGTGGTCAACGAACGGTCTGCAGAGACGCCAACCGAGCTGCCCGACCGCGAGTCAGCAACTGTGACTCCCTCACCAGACTCTCCTACAGCCCCGCAGTCTTCTTCAGATGCAATTATCGCGGTGGACGGCACAGACCAGTAATATGGGATGGTCGGGTGCTGCCTTGCTGCCCCGCACTTTGCAAAGCAAGCCTGGGCCCAGGCTTGGCGCACTTTAGCCCGTTTTTCGGTTTAGGACTCGTGCAACTGATTTGTTCGAATTGAAGCCAAGATTATTCATCTGATGCCCCACGACTCGATTTGGAGCCCATTTAGGGGTGTGCTGAAATGCCTCGCGAGCTAGAATACAAGTGGCACGAAACTTTGAGCATACACAAGTCAATTAGAAAAAAAAAAAAACAGAAACAGCTCTCCCAAACGGCGAGCTGGCCTTGCAGAATGAGAAAAATTAAACTGAAAAAAATCTACATCCACTGTTCAAAAATGTCCGTCAAGAAGATGGTGACGGTCACCGGGATGGCAACGGCAATCATGTTCTTAGCCACGCCTCGCCAGACAAAGCGTGGGCCTAGGCACAGATAGACACCACGTGAGCACTTGATGTGCAACGAACGTGGTGCGGAAGGAAGGCGCACGACAAAAGTATCGAAACGCACCTTCGGTTTGATAGAGAGAACGAATAGCAGGGACCATGCCAAGATCGGTGCGAAACATGTGATTGCGAATAACGTCAAAGGGGTTGGTCAAAATGGCGCCAGCGGTGCCTGCCACCACGGCCTTTTTGGCCGAGCGTACTAGCCAGCCTAGACGATCCTGCTCCTTGTTGACGGGGGCCAAGGAGCGGTCCATGGCCTGTTTGACCAAGACGGCCGTCACGTATTTGGGCACAGTCTTGGCAATCCCTGCACTCAAGCCGTGCCACAATCCCGCGTAGCCTACGTTGCCCGCGCACCCCAACCGTCAAGGCTGATGAGAACTCGTCGGACCGGTCCCAAGTCAGTGTGGTGTGCTTTTCACCGAGGAAAAAAAAACAGAGGGTGCAAAGGAGCCGCACCTCGACGGTGGACAATGTCACGACCAATGGCTAGGACGGAGGAGTGGGGTGAGGCCGGGTCTTGCAGCATGATGCTGCAACGGACGAGGGGCATATTGACAATTTGGACGCCGATTGAGAGTGCAAGCGGAGGCAGCACCACGGCGACGGCCTTGGGAGCACCGGCTTCCGTGAGATGTTTCCTGGAGTGAACAGAATGCAACATGAGAGATAGCCAAGGGGGAACTGAGGGCCAGCAAAGGGACGAAAAGTCAAACCGGCCAAAGTCAGAGCCGTAAAAGATGGCTGCTCGCGCCCAGGTCATGCCGGCTACGACGTGAATGGCGGCCCGATAGGGAGGCTACGCGCGCGTTGAAGACGGCATTGTGAGGACTTGGAGCAAAGAGCTGGAGCAAACCAATGAGCACCAGACGCACCTGCATGGCCTCGATAAACTGGCCAACAAAGGTTGTGCTCTGCAGCTTAAACCCTGAAGGGGGGCGGGAGCGCGACAGGAAGAAACGCGACAGTGAGGCACGAAACCCAACCTGTATCGGTCTGTACGCAATTCAATCACAAATGAGGAAGGGCACGTACCAGCTTGGCCAATGGCAGAGGCCTTCCACAAGGGATAATTGAGGAGGGCAGCACAGCCCGAGGCCGCAAAGGCCGCGACGGGCGACTTGCCCTCGCCGTTGGTCATGATGATACCAGTCCCCGGCACGCCACTCATTCCATCCTCACCCACGGTGGACCAATTCCCCTCAACCCAAACGAACCACTTCTTCAATCACCACCACCGCCACCACCACCACTGCCGCTGCCGCCTCCGCGACCGCCGCTACCGCTGCCGTTCACCTAGAAAAAAAAAACCTGG